GCTTGTTAGAAGTTGTTAACAGCTTATTCCAAACAGGGAACAAGCAATCTGTGTGTACTACACACATACTGTAAAAATGCACATGTTGTTACAAATCTGTTGACGAGCTGTCAAGAAGTTGTGTTCAATCGCACTGCTTGTTCCCAGTTGTTGTACTGGTAACAAGTTTGGAACAAGCTGTTAACAACTTGTAACAAGCTTGATGGCATTATCAGACTTGTTACAAGGTTGTTCTAACAAGTCTGATTCAGTCATGATATAACAAGAATGTTACAAGGTTGACCACACAAGGTTGTAACAATATTATTATATCATGACTGTGTCGGACATGTTGGAACAACCTTGCAACAAGTCTGATAATATCAACAAGGTTGTTACAAGTTGTTAACAGCTTGTTCCAAACTTGTTGACAACTTGGGACAACTTGAGCAGTGCGAACACAACTTGTTGACGACTTTGGCAGACAAGGTCTGCAATCACATTGTTACAAATCTGTTCACAAGCTGTCGACAAGTTGTCTTTGTACTGCTTGTTCCCAGTTGTTGTAACAAGTTTGGAACAAGCTCTTAACAACTTGGAACAAGCTTGATGGCATTATCAAACTTGTTACAAGGTTGTTCTAACAAGCTTGATACAGTCATGATATAACAAGAATGTCACAAGGTTCATGACACAAGGTTGTAACAATATTGTTTTATCATGACTGTATCGGACTTGTTGGAACAATGTTGCAACAAGTCTGATAATATCAACAAGGTTGGTACAAGTTGTTAACAGTTTGTTCCAAACTTGTTGACAACTTGGGACAAGCAGTTCGGACACAACTTGTTGACAGCTTGTTTGGCAGGCTTGCTACAAGATGTGAGTTTTTTTAGTGTGTACTTGTTCCCAGCTAATTGTTGTAACAAGTTTGGAACAAGTTGTTAACCACTTGCAACAAGCTTGTTGTTATTGTTCATATTATCAGACTTGTTACAAGGTTGTTCTCTTGATACAGTCATATAATATTAACAAGAATGTTACAACAACCTTGTGTCGTCAACCTTGTAACAAATATATTGTTATATCATGACTGTATCAGACTTGTTAGAACAACCTTGTAACAAGTCTGATAATGCCATCAAGCTTGTTTCATGTTGCTAGCAGCTTGTTCCAAACTTGTTACAATAACTGTAAAATTCATATGTTGTCGCATCATAATGGAATACATTGCACATAATCATATATTGCTCGTTATATTGCTAACTTTGGCTTAAAGTTTTATTTATTAAGGATCATTAGACAGATTTAGATCGAGGACATGGACGTCAAAGACGACGTGAAAATGGTGTCAAAATGGCGTGGCATATCCGTACATGGGCACACCACGCCATTTTAACGTCGTCTTTGATGTCCGCGTCCTCGATCTAAATCTGTCTATCATTTAATATGACAATTACGTTATATGGGTGTCAATGCATTCTTGCCACTTGCTCCTAAACAATGCGTGTGAATTGTGATATTTAGTTTTATAGATCTTTCAAAAGTATAGATCTTTCAAAATTATTGGGGGGGGGGGGCAGCCAATCAGACAGCTCAATCCATCCCTAGGATGTCCATTTCATGATAATTAAGTACATTTACTAGCAACAAAAATTAGTTATTGTACCCTGTGCTAATTTTGTCTTAATAATGTGTGGAAAAAATTGTAATTAATATGTACTTTTTTGCCGGTGCGAATAAAATTCTTCTTCTAAATTTCCAACATTCCTAACATCATGAAATGTTCTGGTATGGAAATGAGACCTTAGGCCCATGGAAGTACAGTAAGGTATCAGCTTACAGTAAACCTGAAAAACGTTTTATGTTAAGTAATGGGTTAAAAAGTGGTTTATTTTGCAGGTGACCCACTGTATCAAATGTTCGAAATCAAACTTGCGCTTTGCATCGATTTTCCCCAACATATGGCGCCTGGTGTCTTCATAACCTGCCCCGATATCATGGAACCGTTTTCGCTCAAAGACAGCGACTGGGATTTTGAAAAAACCCCTGGGATAACAGCAATAGCTCATCCGTCGCCTATTGAGATTGGTACCACGCACGGTGTATTCATCCTGGCCGAGAAACCTCACGTAAATTGTGCAAACCATTCCGAACTACCCTCTGTAACACAATCGACTTGCATTCAATTTTTACACAAACCTTCGAAGGAACGAATGCACGATGCGAACGCTGTTTTTTTAATTGCAAACGACGAATATGTGTATACCGATGGGGAATTTTACATGGATTGGGCTACCACTGCAAAGCTGGTTAAACTCTACCAGAAATTATCACCATTAGGTTGTGAGATTGATGCTTTTGGCGACTTCCTTCAAGCCCTCGGAGAAAACAGCAATAAGGAATATTGTAAGAATGTTGCGAATGTCGTGCAAGTTGTTCCCAAGCTTGTGGAAACACGGGAGAAGTTTTATGATGAGCTGCAGGGAACCCAGTTTAATGTTCTGCTGTTTAATAAATCGAAGTTTTATCACATTGGAACCATGACTGAGTACATTGAGGCATTTTGTGATAATTTAGTTATGAGGTGAGTTATGGCTGAGGTGAACTGGATTGTTCACTCGACGGGGTATATAGAAAACCCTGCACAGTTCGAAAATGTTCACTAACCAAAAATTCTGACAATGTCTCTAGTTAACCCGTTGAGCCGTAATGCGCCTTAGTGCGCCCTACTTATCTTTTTTTACTTGTCTAACGCCAGACGATTTTACTCGTCAATGGGGAAGCTCTGCAGCTTAATGGGTTAAACTGCAAACTTTGCAAAATTTGTGAAAACTTTATGCAAGCAGCCAGGTTTGGGGTCTCCTAGTAGCTTTACCGCTAAAATTATTTTGAAAAGCAAATTTTCGAGTGAGGAAGGTTGTTTCTGGAAAACACTTTAAAAATGGCTTGCGCAGAAAAATGGAGGGCTTTTAAAAACGCGTTTTAAACTCATAGGGTGCAAATAGGTAATTTATGAATTATCAAAGTACCAGACAATTTGAAGTACAATTAAGTCCAACGCGCTGCTTCTAAAACTTGGACATTTTTGCCATAGTAAGCTCTCGCGCATAATTTATCACATGCATGTACAGTATAAGTAACAAGTAACTATTTATAGCGCGTATCGTATTGTTTTAAAAGTAAAAATTCAAGTTTACATACAGTGAAATTACATTGAATTGTGTTCGCTCGAAATAACATACGAAACGCTTTCAGACAATATGAATAAAATTGCTATGAGATTTTATTGATATGACATAATTTGACGGTTGACTTTCAAATTTGAAAAACAATCAAGTATATCAAGTATATCAACCAATCGGAATATTGCGTTGTGTGGACAACTGAAGAACTACTACCGGGTCAAACTTGAAACATTCTTTGACGTTGATCGTCCGAGGACATGGAAAACCATTTGTTCTAAATGTCGCTCTTGTTCTATTACTTGTTGTTCATGATAGTTGAGAGCGCTCC